AACGAGACCCTAGCATGCAAGCCAAGTCTCTATACTGCCGATTTGCACCATTTTGAAAAGTGGGCGGGGCTTCTTCAAAGTGGGCGGAGCCTCTCACAGTGGGCGGGGCTTCACGCAGCAGCCCTAAAATGCAAAAATTTTGAAAAATATCGAAAGTCCGCGAAAAGCAAGTGGGCGTGGTCAGCCTAGATTGCCAAACCCTTTAGAGAATGGGCGGAGTCGGCCATGTGTCAATGCCCGGTCGTTTCCAGTCAAAGTGTTTGTGGGAAACAGCAGAAGTTATGAAACAAGATTTGAGAATCTATGTCCGCGCTGACAAGTGGGCCGTCGGGGCGGGGCTCGCAGTGATGTCTGGCGTGATCTGGTTGATGAGTTGCCCGCCCTAATAAGTGTGGTTAATTTGATGTGAAAAGTGAGGGTGAATTTGGTTTGAAAAAGGGTGAATTTAAAGTGAAAATGGTATATATCTTGCTCTTTGCATTAGATCTCAACCAAGCATACCATTCTTTTTGCACGAACAAACTGCCACCCTATTTTCTCTTGAGGACTCTTGTTCCTGACCACAGAAAAAAAAACAAAATGGTTCTTGAAAACAGGAGGTGGAACTGGCGGCCTGTGAAAAAAAAGCGAAAACTTATCGGAAACACCTTGAATAAAACCTCTTTGATTCTCTTCAATTGATTTTGTGAGAGCACATGGGTAAAGGAGTATTTTCCGGATAATTTTCTTGCTTGTTTATATCACAGAAATATCAGCTCCCCTTCCTCTGCCACGTTCTTTTTACAATGGGATCTTTATCACTTTTTATCTTACCTTTTTCTTTTGAAGCTGGTCACGACCGTGAAGGGTGCGGCAGCGCAGTCTCCAAGAGGAGGGCATCTATCGCTAACAAGTTCCTAGCCTTCCTGCACTGCCTTCCTGCACTGTTTTACGAGGCGAGAGCGGCACACACTTGTTTTCTAGATCTGCGCACCTCTTCTTTACTGCGGATGATGAAGCGTGTCGGGGGGGGGGGGGAGGGTGGTGTAGCGCGGCGCTCACAGCGAACCTTGAGTTGCATCTGGAGTCGGATAGAAAAGGGACCCTTTTATAAATAATGGTGAATTTTGCTTGGTTCTTCTTTCGTTCCGTGTGATAAAGATGAACTACAAATCAGTTTGGGTGGCACATTTTGGTCTGAAATTTCAAGTTCTTCAACATGACACAGTATGCGGCGCGCTGCTGAAAAGGCACCATTTACTCATTATGTTCAACCCAGTTCTCCCATTTCACCCTGAATAAAAATTCTTTCAGTATGCCAACACAACCGTGGTTATATCTGGTACTAATCCGCAATCAATACCAAGCCTTCGATATTTTCAGTGAGTTCCAACAACTCTTCGTCAATATTACGTTTCTTGTCTTCAAATATTAGGAGTTTCAGTGAAGACGTTCTGATGTTGTCGACAGGATTCACCGAAATCGGCGCACTTAATTGGTACCTAGGTATATGTGTGTTACTGTCATGGGTGGCTGTCTTTCTCTGCCTTTTTCAAGGCGTGAAATCAAGTGGAAAGGTAAGCGGAACAGTAATACCGGCTTGACTGTAGTTCAGGGGGGAGGCACACGGCAGCGCGCGACTGGACCCTGTCACAGAGGCAGTAATCCCTTCCCCACGGCAAGCTCTGTCTTACCATTAGAGAAGCGTCCAGAGTCCGCGCCAGCGCATGCTGTCAACTACGGTGGCGCCAGTTAGACGTGCCATATTGTCTGTTCCACTTTTGTTACATTTCCTAGGAAATTTAATATACAAATCTTATTTATTTAGGTTGTTTATGTTGTGGTAGTGTTGCCATTCATAATAATGATAGTTCTACTTGCTCGATTACTAACGCTTGAAGGATCATTTCCTGCTCTCATACACTTTCTTCGTCCGAACTTGCAGGCACTGAAGAATCTTACGGTAGAGCACTTGCTAAAGCCTTACCGTTTCTCTCCTTAAAGCTGAACACATGAAGTTTTAGGTGTGGGGCGAAGCAGCAGTGCACGCGTTTTATTCAGTTGCTTGTTGTACAGGTGGCTTGTACACGACTTCAAGTTATAACCGATTTCACAATAATTTGTTCAAGTTAGTTGTTTTCACCTTTATGTTTTTGTTGGGAAGCGTTCACATATCGCGAAAGTCCGCGATTCGAGAAAATTGGTGACAAAGAATTGTCCCCCCCCCTCCCCTTCATGCGGTATAAAAGGCACCTCCTTCATGATCCGTGCAAATTGTAGGGCGTGTGATAGGGTGTGGATTGGAACTCTGCGAGGGTAGCCTTGCTCACCAGTTGTAGCGGGCTCAGGATGGCATCATTGGGGAAAAAAGCTATTGTGGTTGCGCTCCAATCCACACCGCCCGCGTCACACGCCCTCTCGTTTGCAGGGATCACAACTGTAAGCAAATGCACCTTTCCTACCGCAAAAAAGGCAAATGAAATTTGATTGACTTTCGTCCCTACCTCTTCCGTAGAGTTCGCGACAGAGTCAATCGCGCCTTTCCAACCCCTCTGTCAATAATACTCTCGATTACGGATTCTTCAGTATCAAAGTTTCCTCAATTGTGCTTTCCTTTATACTCGTCCTCCCGAACTGCCAATTCTTATGAATCGCGGCTTCTTCACATTAGTAATTTTTATCGCAGCTTCACTTTACACACGGACAGGACCCTCTAAAATGCCGCGCCGTCGCGCGCGTGCGCATCATTTCACGTCTTATTTCGGCCTGATCAGTTTGTCGATTGGAGTTTGTCGAGCTAAAACTCGTATGAGTTCAAGCGGAAACACGACTCCATGACGAGCGATATCGAATTTTCTCGTTCCTTAAACACTCATTCTTTAATGGCAGCGCACAGGTAAACGTTTCGTCTTTCTGGCGCGGCGTCGTTCGTCACGTCCAGCAGTGCGGCATATGTGAGCGCATATCCGCCTAAACCGCTACAGAAGTTTGGAAACACAGACGATTTCCAGAGTTTCCTAGTCATATTTATCATGCCCAACCTGTCATTTACCCTTTGTCTTGTTTTCTTCTTCTCTCTTCCTTTCCTTCTTTTCTAACTAGTTTTGCCCAATTGATAATATTTTACCATAAGCAATTTTGCTTTCAGAGATCTTTTGGCGTGATGCTATACCATGACGCTTTCATAACGTCAATGATTTGTTGTGTGCTGACGTTCTCTGCAATCGGGTTTACTTGTTTCGAGTTCTCTATTTCATTAGAAAAGTTCCATATACGAGGTGGGCTTTTCTCGCTCCTTTGCGATCCATTCTATTTCTTTTTCTGAATAAGTGAAAACGATCTAGAACCAGGCCAAACCATTTCACAGATCGTTGGCCCTTCTGTCGTGGTCGTTGACCTGTGCACGAGTTAAGCACCTGGATATTAAGGGCACGATCGTTTATTGAATTACGTGTTGACAATAGCTTGCGAATTCGTGACCGAATTTCCTTTGGACATGTATTCTGGGGGGGAGCTTTCCTTTTGTAAAGCGTCATTAATTGCAGCCGCTATTGACTGACCTGAGGTTGCTCAGATTTCAGTTGCGAAAGATTAGGGGATTCAGTGGCAACGTGCCCCTTACACTGAGCGTGATTGACGGGCCAAATCCAGTACCGGCTCACGCTCAGGTAAACCCAGTCTTTCATCCCTCCGGGCCCATAAATTGATACCAAATTCGTTTGCTGAGGAGAAAGGCGCTGAGTAGAACACGCCCTGCAAATTATTGTGTAGGGCCAATCACATTTTCAAATCAGGCGACAAATCCCTGCCCTTTGAAAAGACTCTTAATAGCGCATTCCACTGGTCGAGACTGTCCCTTCTCTGCATCTCGCCACCTTCCCCATTCTCTTACCTATGCACTCTTTCTTATTCCCCCAACTTTCTTACCTGCCATTGGCGGAGACAGTGCGGCAGAGAGAAAAAGGAAGGCGAGGGGGGACGGGGGGCGCTGTTGGCGTGACGTACGACCCCCCCCCCTCCGCCTCTAGAAGGTGCCTTTGCATACGACCTTGTTCCCTATACTTTACCTCTTCTGCATCGAGCCTTGTCCTGAAGGCAGGATATAGCACATGCAAACACGCGAAAAGACCTGATGAAAAATTCCAACAAAGCGAGAAAAATTTCTCCCCCAATACTGCAAAGGCCAAATTGACCGCTCCCTCAACAACAACAGCGACCAGACTACACCCCTCCCCTCATACAGCGTCCGTGAAACCCAGGAAAAGTCACACTATAAAAAGCTTCCGCGCAACAATTCTACGGACTCCCCTCCCCACGCGAACGAATACCCCCCCCCCGTATCACTTATCATTTTTATCGAGATTCTTTGGGATTGTAGCAAGGGAAGGGGTTCGTTAGGGAATCCCAACAATGATAGTTCTGCGGAGAGGTGGGAGGAGTGGAGCTTTCAACTCAATTAATCGGAAAAAAACCGAAGACATTGGCACAAAGGGAAAGCTACGACCCCTTCCTCCCTCCAACGACCTCAATGCGGACCCCCTCCCCCCACCCCTCCCTGACCTCTAGAAGTCCTTGGCGTTACCGACGGACTCTAGATTATAATGACATTGAGATGGAAGCGGCGAATGCCCTGCTCCCCAGAGACAGCCATTCTTCGAGGTCCAGGTTAGAGAATGGGTTCAAAAAAACTCTTTGACATGGTTCCGCGTTATCTACTTATAAGTTCATTTTCTTTATTAACCACCGAATTTCTTATCAAAATAATTCAGATGGAGCGCACCTTGTTTTCGTGTTCTTGGCAGAGGCATTAGCAGGCGTTCCAGTGGCACCCCTATACACCTGGTCTCTTCTCTTCTGATGGTTGCGTGCTGATCATACATTCAACACAGCTGCTTCGCTAGTTAGGATTTTTGTTGCTCGTCACGTTTTCCTTTTTCTTTGCCTGAAGGATACCATCTCGGAGACTATACTCATCCTGTAGCAGTCTTTTACTTTGTTGGTAGAAATCGCTTCCATCGATGATAGCTACGGAAAAAAAACTTATTGGAAATTAGTTAACCGATAGCCGACAGTTGAACTGCGGCTGGATCAAGGTATCAAACAATGGAATGAGGCGCATATATAGACTTGATAAGATTGGACGCGAGCGGCGGGCAATTTGACTATTTTCGCTTTGAAAGTTTCTGTAGACCTCTGTTCAACTGCCTTGCTCTAAAAATGCCGGTCAACTTTTGTACAATGAACCACGACTATGAAAGTCCAGCAATTGAAAAACTTGCTTCCCCCCCCCCCCCCTCCTTCAATGGCGGAACTGCTGTCCATGAGAGGTATTTTGTGTAATCTTTTAGAGTGTTCCCATTTCAACGATTGTTTTACCAGTTGTTTCACCATTGGTGTTTTCCTTTTTACAACGTTTCCTCAGGGAGTGTGCCAGGACTACCACCCAGGGCGGCCATCGTTGTGATCATCACAACAGGGCGGGGGCGTCGTACTTGACTGACCTCGAGGGGGGGAGGTCGTCGTAAGCGCGGGGACCTTTCTGAAGTGCAGCGATACCCAGCTGTCGTTCAGCTTCAATGATGAAGAGACTTATCCATGTGAAGGACCTCTGAAGAGACCCACACAAGACAGAAGCAAACCTACCAGCGCAGAAAGTGGGGAACGGGCGATGACAGGAAATACGATGGCCTCCCACAACGACGTCATGGATCAATTATAAAAAAAGAACAAATGCGATAAAAGTCTCAACGCCGTTGATCAAAACCCCTTTGTGGGATGCGGCACGCATTCTACTTCCATTCAGAATCGCAGTGGCTTATTGAATGCGATGTGGCCTATACAATGACTTGCGGTGGCCAGCCGATGTACAAGTCAGTGTTTTATCCTCCCAGGCGAATCTGGTACCATCTTAACGTCCCCGAAGGGTAGAAGGCTTGGTTGGCCTAAGCGAGAGTCGAGTCGAGATTTGAACCCGGCATCGCGCCGAGTTGGGTATAAGCCGCCACTTAGTCATTACCCCACCTCCGCTCCAATGATATCTCGCCACTGAACTAATAAACAGATGATACAACTTCTTTTCTGTTCCGCAGAAGCACATCTACTTTGCACGGAGGAGCCCTTTCTGAGAAGTTGCAACCTTTCAATACTAGCTCTGCGTTTTGAAAAGCGCATATGCCATGACGCATTGCAGAGGCCATGCCCCAACTGGCGCCCAATGCAACTATTTTCCTGATAGCCTCGGGCAAAACATGCGATTTTAAAAGCCTCACCCCAAAGTCCTTTAGCCAAGAGCGCCTTTATGGCGTACGGGGCGATGATTGTTCGGTATCGTGGTGGCAGTGATCACGGGCTGACGATCACAGGGTGATCACAACGGGGAAATTTTTTTCGAATAGCAGGCCTAGGGATAAAATGAAAGTTTCTGCTGGAAAAGTAGAAAGCTTCATGCTTCCGGCCCTGTTGTTCTTTTACGAATTGCTCTGTATGAAGTGGCTATGTTAATGGCTGTTCAAAGACCATCAAGCAGACATTGCGGATGACCCTACGACCACGGAAGGATCACAACCGGAGAAAAATTTCTAGAAAAGGAATGTTTTTAAAATCGCTTAAACAAGGGCCAACCTAGTGCTCCATTCTTGCTTTCTCCTCTTTGAAAGCTTTACCCTCAAATAAGTTATGGGCGTGTGAGTGGTACTTTTTAAGTGCTTGGCTCGAAACTGACTTCCAGGCCGCGCTCCAATATGTTTGTACTAGCGCGCTCACATTCAGAGGTGAGCAAGGCGCGCTAGTACAAACGATATTTGGAGCGCCGCCTATTTTACGGCCCAGACAGTACAAGTTTTCGAGCCAAGCATTTGACAAATGTACCATCGCACGCCATAACTCTATTGACGGGTAGAGCTTTTGGGACGGTATGAGGAGCACTAGGTGTGGCACTTTTACTGACGCTGAGCAGCGATTTTTAAAAACGTTGCTTTTTCTTCTTTCGTATTAGGTAGAAAATTCTCCGTTCGTAGATTCTCTGGACGACTTAGCGGCCCCGCCTAAAACTTGTCCGGCATTTTTTCCGGTAGGTTTAAGCGACAGTCGAAATCAGACCGGTTTTTTACCGACTTTTTTAACAAGTGAGATTAAGCTGAAAATTAGCTTGCGCGGTGTATTTCGACCCTCCAGATACGGAATATCACATCCGCTTTCGGCCAAAAATCGGCCTGGAGCGCCGGCGCCAAAGCACCTATGTTCAGTTTGCAATGCACAGGGGAGGGGTCGTCATCAGTCCCTTGTTTGGCAGGCGGGGCGGCCAGAGTCATTTTTCAGGAAATGATCACAACGCAATGGCGTGACCTGCCTACACCTAAACATTATGATTCATTTCCGTTGTGACTTGGAAAGCTCAAAATGGCTTTGAATTTAGGTGGAAACGGTCGTCACATCTCTGTGCGATGAATTTCCAGAGCGTCTACGACGTAATAGACGCCATGTCCTGACGACGGTCTGCGCGGTTTTCATGGTGCTTAGCATACCGTTTTGTTTGTCGGTAAGTATTAGTTCCATGTTATAAGTAGCTTGTTTTTTATTGGCACCCAGTTTGGCTTGGAGGGGTACATTTGCTAGTCCCTTCGGTTGTTCATCTTGGTCTCATTCTGGGGAGACATGTAAGCCGCTGTCAAACTGTAGATTTTTTCGAACATTTTCGTAAAGGGGCAGGTCTTCACAATGTGGACTCTCTGAGCTTAGCTGTTTGGTACACCCACCAAGCCGAATCGCACCGAATCATTGGTTAATTTGTGTGTAGTGCTTACCGATCCAATCTATTATTTTTTGCTAACGCATTATTTTCTTGAACTTTTGTTATAGACACATCCCGATATTGCAAGTGTTTGTGATGAGATTCGGTCTTAACTGACTTTCTATTAACGGCAGTTGGCACAATGACTTGGTGCTCGGCCTAAAATGCTAGTAGGGCGCTATATAGCGAGGAAATGGCGAAAGAACGGAGCGAAACGGTCAAAATACTGCGAAGGAAAAGCCTCCGTTCTCAGTGACTTGTAAATCGATTCGCACGAGTTTCTCGTGGGCATCTTATCAATCACCGCTACCGAAGATACGGCTGAATTTATGTACCCATGTATGCATGCAGTATCACGCTCATACCAATACGCCT